CTCTAACTAACGAATCTGAGGCAGCGAATATGCAGGCGTAGGATGCTATGGAATAGTTTCTTGATATTGCTATTTTAAACACGCCCACAACGTCGCCGCAAAAATACTGTTCTCATACATTTAGGAAAATCTCACTGTATCACGGTTTGTTAACTAGCAAGAGTATTTCTGTGTAAACACCCGCGTAATTGCTGTGGACGATGCAAACGCTTTATTGCTGTGGGCGTACATATTATTAGGTATATAGAGTACCGCGTCTCGCCACTTTGCGACCTGGTCGCACTCGCCCGCTTTTCGCCGGTTCGTTAGAGCGTGACACACCCTTATTATTCTGGCACAATATTTAAGCAGAAGCTCATAACTATTATCTGCCCACATCAGCCGGATAAACCACGTAAGCCCGACCAAACAGGTGAGAGGGAATGGAATTAATTTAGCATCAACAATTTTTCAATCAACTTACGTCTCGGCCAACAACGCGAGATAACACGCTCCACAAACACGATCGTGTATGCGCGCCGCAACCGGACAGAATTTTACGTATTCGCGTGTAAAATCTTTCGCGAGAGGTAAGCCCTAACAATACCAGACTCCGATAGCTTAATGGCTCCGCTCGCGCTGCGCCGGTACGTTAGATGGTGGTTGTTCTTCAGCAGAAGTACGTGAAAAGAGAAGTACGATGTCGTCGAAGTTGACTTTAGCACCGCCGCGACGTAATTATTTAGCTGCGTCGTTGCATTAAAGACGAGAAACTGCGGAAAATGCGGAGGAGTGGCGAAGCAGGCGTCTGTATTCGAAAGCCCCGCTAGAGCTGCTCGATAATACAGAAGGCACTCCGGATAGATGAATATCGCGAAACGGTTTATGAGATGAACAAAAGCACACAACGGTTTGTCGGCGAAAGCAATTCCGGACGAATTTACGACCGCTATACGCCACGTATAATTTACGATATTATTTGCCGATATGCCCGAAGGAAATGTCCAATCGTTAAATATCTTCCGGAAATTTTTTGGTCGCATCCGCGTGGACGTTATCAAGGGCTACAGATTCTGGGGAGAGCAAAGTTCTATAACCGTTGCAACTGTTCGATACGTATTTACAGTAAAACCGATTACGTCTCATTCCAGCATTGCAGTGGATAATGACAATCGATCGAGAAACAGTTTGTTGATTCCAATATACTCCAATACACTCAAGGTGGAGAATTTCCTCGCAATTTGTAAGGGGAACTCAACAATGCGCGAGTTAACATCTCTTTAACCTTTTCAATTGAACGTCGAGTTAGCACAAGTTATTAACACGAAAATGTTAACACAATTCCGTAACGAAACAATGATACGCAAGAGACACACGTTTCTCGCATCACGTGAATAGCGGTATCTCTGTGCCCGCTCTCTCGCAAATTCCTCGAATTAAGGACATGTCGGTTTTATCAAACGAAAAGGGATGCAAGGCTGGAGACGGCTTTACACAGGATTATATAAAGGCAAGAGAATGGAGAGAAAAGGCGAGCGGAAAAGATCAGCCATTTCCGAATACCAACCCATCCGCTTTAAAACGCGCGGATCGTCGCGAGCTTTCCTTCGTATCGCGCACGATCAAACTCGCCGAGCTTTTGGGGAACGCTCGTTGATATATAAAGCTTTATTAATGGACTAACGCTGCTGCGCAACGCCTGCGGCCAGTACAGAGTGGACAGAGCTGGTCGGAATGACGTGTTAGCTCGCTTACCGGAAAACGCGTCGCCCGGCTCTCGTTCGTCGGCTGCCCCGCAAACTAGGTGTGGCACTTTTCTACAACGATCGGAGCTTAATCGCGTTTAGTCGCGGCGCGTCAAGCTGTGCATCGTTCCGACGCAAATTGTGCTGATGGGAATATATTGTTTTGGCGGAGAGAAAGGGGAGATATAGGAAAAAAGCGAAGGGGAAAGAGGGAGAAAGGAGGGAGAGAAAAAATTGAGATATTCTTGTAAAATACCATTGTTATAGAAATTAAAAGTCCTGTATAGATAATGTAGAATGTGTGCGAGTTGACATTTCTTAATTGTGATAAAAAGGAACTGCTCGACACCCAGCGAACAATAAGAGCAAAGGGCCGATCTTTCAGTTTGTAATAGCACGCGCCGTACTTTCCGATCCCGGACGATAATGGCTCTCTCACGCGACACGAGGAACATTGACTTACGCGTGAATATCACGTGCCCGCCATAGATCCTAAGTATCCGCCGGGAAATTATTCGCGACTTAAACGGGCGCTGTGACAGGTATCGCCACCATTACTGGCACCACCGCCCGACACCGTCACTGCCATTATCACCGCACCACAACTCCCATCGGCACCGCCGACGTTACCGTTCGTGCTTCTGACACCGCGGCAATACACCCCGGCGACTTATGAATATTTACGCCGGTTGAATATGCATACTACTGACAATGTATTATTTTTGCTCGACGGGAGATCAATATACTACCGCGCGATACACACATATACGTGAAAGCAGAAGTGTACAACGGGAGCGCGTGCGTGCACAGGGTGTTTCGAGTTTTATCGTATCAGCTGCTAATAACAGATTTTGCGCCGAAAACGTAGAGGCACACAAAGTGAAACTTTGATTAAAAATAGAAACATACGGACCAAGATCTTTATCTTTCGTTTAAATTGAAAAGAAAGAGTGACCGCAAAAATAGCCTCTTTTTTTACCCTTGAATTTAGACTTCTACTTAGTACTAAATGATAGTCTATAATGAGTCATGAATCCTCAGAAAGTTTCAGATTGAGCCGGCTTTTTATTTTCAAAATATGGAGGGTCAAAGTTGGTTGCGTATTCGCTGTTTTAAAACGTTGAAATGGAAATTTACATAATAATAGGTTCAAAAAACGTATTCGTTCGCTGTTATGTGATTATTTACAGGTATACGCAAATATATGTTAGTATAAATGTGATTAGATTGAGTCCCCTCGCCTCTCACTTTCGGGGTGCTTGATTAGAGTGAGTCCCCTCGCCTCTTTTTTTTCAAAGCCGGCTCAATCTGAAACTTTCTGAGGATTCATGACTCATTATAGACTATCATTTAGTACTAAGTAGAAGTCTAAATTCAAGGGTGAAAAAAGACAAGGGTGAAAACATGCTATTTTTGGTCTGTTTTTGCGGTCACTCTTTGATTTAAGAAGAGATATTTGATTTGAAATTTTATTTCGCTGAGAAAATTTGAATATACGAGGTTCAAATAAACGAATGACTTCTTATAAAAAACGAACAAAGACTTTAAATTTTGTAAAGATTGCATATTGACGGTTGGCAGATAGATCAACACCGTATGTATCCGTATCAAGTTTATATACATGCTGATGCACACGCAATATACAAATATATTTACTTCAATATACAGTGTATTGAGTGTATACGATCGTATTCTATTTCAGCGAACATTGAAAACATCGAATAACTGAAAGCAACGACTGTGAGCGTATATGTTTTTTTAACCTGCGTCGATACTTTTCGTCGTGAGAGATGAGCTATTGTGGAAACCGAAAAGATGACCATCGCATCGTAACACATATCATGAAAAAAAAAAATCGTTCTTGTCAGTTGAATAAACTTGCAAGCACAATCGCGTTAAACTTTCAATGCTGCCTAACGCGAGCGTCGAAAGTGTGGTTTTCGCGTGTCTCGTGAATTAGCAAGAAACCTATTTCGTCTCGAGACATTCGTCCCGCCCGGTGCATTCATCAAGAAACGATCATCGGTGCATTATGACCGCGCGCCGTGACCGACGTGGCACCGGTACACAGGAATTAGCCATTAAGCGGAATGACGTGCGATTTCTCGAGAGACGTTTCCGCGGTGAAAGGAGACTGCCGGAGAAATTTAATGCGCCTCGCGCACTCGAAAAAAGGGGGGTCCTGCGGCACCGTAATTCAATTAGGCTCGCTGCATCGAAATTTAATGGGCCGCGACGCTGCAACTTCGCCTTGGAACGGTGCCACGACGCGTCCGGCGCGGGCCGTGTCCGATGCAGAAAGGGCACAACGCGCACGTTGCGCGCCCTTTTGTGCCTGAAGGGCCAACAGAAGTACCCGGAAAAGAGACGAAAGAAAAAAAAATACGGACGTTCCCGTGCACGTACAATAAGCACCAACGAACGTTTCCGCGCGAGTTCTTTTTTTTTTCGAGAAAATGTCACGTACTTATGATATATAAAGCTGTATTAATATTTATAATATAATTATATTAATTTAATTAATTACATTAAAAGTTCAAATTCAAATTGAAAATTCAATTGCAAAAATAAGGAATTAAAGTATTATATTTTCTATTAAATTATTTAAAACGAATTTAAATTTTCATACATGCGCTTTAACCTCGTGTTTGAATTACAACATATGTCAAATGCTACCTCTCACGGTTACTGCTCGGCGTCTCCTATTTATCTACATGGGAACGTCGTGATTTATGAATATGTAGACACGACGTCTTTTTTTTCTAGATCTTTTAAAAGTACCTATTAACGTGAAGACATTTACGAACCCTGGCTAGCATATACTAGCAATGCTAGTTTTGACGAGTAAATTGAAATTGCTGCTACGAGGTCGAATGTGTTTAACTCGTTGCGCGGGTCTCCATTCGTTGGTTATTGAACGGGATATTGGGAAATCTGGTGAGGCCCAGATACCCGTTTCGTTCCCTTCCTCAAAGGAAGCGCACATCTTGCGATATTTGATTGGAAATTCTTGAATTCAATATGAACGCAGCGATTTACGTGGAGCGTATAGACATAGAAGTTATTTGCCGAAGAGTGCCCACAGCCAATATCGATTAAAGTTCAGTGTGTTGTAGAAAATCGCAATCTCTCTATCTTCATTTCAATCTTTTAGACGAAAAGAATTTTTCTGATCGCACTGCTGAACGATTAATAACGAATTAGCATCGATTCGCTAGTATATTTAAACGGTCTACTTATTTTTTAAATAATCTATTATTTTAATTAATCACTCACCTTCGTTGTCGATGGAGAAAATGCCGACGCCGTCGCCTCCATGAATGCTGTATCCAATTCTCGAATCTCCACCAGGGGGATCAGCGTCCTTCGCTCGAACCGTAGTGACGAGGGTGCCGATAGGTTGGTTCTCGAAGACACTCGCGGACACGACAAAGTCATCGAAGACTGGCGAATGAAGGTTCTCGTTCACGTCGATCACCTCGATCACGAGCATCGTCTCGGAAGATAAAGACGGCTCACCGCGATCGCGCGCGACTATCGTCAGCGTGTGCACCTGCCGCTCCTCAAAGTCCAAGCTCTGAGTCGTTCTCACCGTGCCCGACACCTTGTCGACCTTGAAGAAACCTTCGCTCTCCATCGCGTCCGACAGGAAGTATTCCACGTCGCCGCCTGCGCCTTCGTCGGGATCCGTGGCGTCCACAACGGCCACGACGGTCCAAACTGGTACATCTTCGCGGATCTTGACGTTGTAACTCGACAGCGCAAAGGTGGGCGCGTTGTCGTTGACATCGTCGACCGTCACTCTGACGAGCGCGTCCGAGTACAAGGGCGGGGTGTCGTTGTCCTTGCCGCCATTATCACGCGCGCGGATCCTTAACTCGTATATCTCTTGTCGTTCCCTGTCGAGCTTTCCGAAGACGCTCAATACGCCCGTCACAGGATCCACGCGGAAGTCATTGGTCTCCGTCACGAGAGAGTAAGTGACGCGCGCGTTGTCACCGAGGTCGGCGTCAGTGGCGTTGGCGCGCCATACGTTAGTGCCGTTCAGCGCGGTCTCGGAGATCCTGAAACTCGCCAATGACTTTTCGAACTTGGGCGCGTTGTCGTTGACGTCCAAGATGGTGATCGGCAGCATCTTCGAGGCGGATTTCTGTGGTTTTCCCAGATCGAATACACTTATATTTAGGTAATACTCGGTTTCCCGCTCGCGGTCCAGATAACCAATCGTGTTCAGATCGCCGGTATCCGGATCGATGCCGAAGACGGAGTCGCGGTCGCCGCTGGATATAACGAAAACGAGCTTGCCGTTATAATCGAGGTCGCGATCGCGGGCGCGTATTCGTACGAGAATCGTGCCGAGCTTGAGCGACTCGTTGACCCGTATCTCGTTCGGGAAATCGATGAACTCGGGCGCGTGCACGTTCTCGCCGTAACGACTCGGTATCAGAGTGTACTCGTCGTCCCGCGACGGCATGTTATTCTTCTCCGCTGAAGCGATCGCGTCCGTCAATCTGCGCGCCACGCCGGTGTCGTGACACTCGAAAGCGCCGGTCTCATCCGTCAGGATTCTCGCCTGCGAGCCCAGATTCCGTTTGGCGTTCACAAGATGTATGTGCACGGGATTGACGTCCGCGAAGTGCGTGCCGTCGGTTGCGGTAACGTTGATAGTTCTCTCGGTGGCCTTGATGTCCGACAGATCGCAGGCGACCGAAAGGACGCCGCTGGCCGAGTCGAGGGCGAAGCAACCGTCGGAATTGCCGGACACTATGCGGTAACTGACGATGTTCCCGGCGTCGAAGTCGATCGCGGACACGGTGATGATCTCGGAGCCGATCGACACGTATCGCGGCACGTGTCCGGTGCAGTCGATCCGCTCGAACTGCGGTCGATTGTCGTTCACGTCCCGCAACCTCACTCGTAATTGCATCTCCGCCTGACGCCGATAGGGCAGGCCCCAATCGCTGGCCCGCACGTGTAGCAAATACTCCCGCTTCATGGTCTCGTAGTCGAGCACCTGTTTGGTCTTGACGATACCGGAGAAATGATCGATCTCGAACGGCACTTTCTTAAGGTTGTCGATACTGTAAGATATGTAGGCGTTCTCACCGGAGTCACGATCTTTCGCGGTAACTCGCACGACGGACGTGCCGGCCGGCTCGTTCTCGTCCAGCAGCACCTCCATTTCCGGCTGGTCGAAGATCGGATCGTTATCGTTGGTGTCGACCACGTTGATCTTCACTTTCGCCGAGGATTGCTTTCTCGTGCCGGCATTACCTTGATCGATCGCCGAGACCGTGAGCGTGTAAAACGCCTTCTTTTCGGCGTCCAGATTGACGGCCGTGTACAACATACCGGTCTCGGCGTTCACGTGAAACTCGCCACCCTCATTGCCGCCGACTATTTCGAGATACACCAATGCGTTCTTCCCTTCGTCCGCGTCCGTGACCTTGAGCCTTATGATCGGCGTGTTAATGGGCGCCGTTTCCGGCACCTTGACCTCGTAGATCTCGCGACTGAACACCGGGGCGTTGTCGTTCACGTCGGCCAAGTGCACCGGCACGAATTTGTAACTGTATCGCTGCGGCACCCCGCGGTCCATTGCGCGCAGGGTGAGATTGTAACCTTGTAGCGCGGTCTCGCGATCGAGCAGATGCAGTACCTCGATGTTGTACTCGCCGGAGCGCGGCCCGCCGGCCGGACGCACCCTGAAGTGGCCGGCCGGATCGCCGCCCACGATGTCGAGGCTCGCGATTTGGCCGTGTACGCCGTCGTCACGGTCGATCACCCGCACGATCGCGTAGATGTCGGCGTTTGAATTCTCGACGATGTCGGGAAGCTGGTGCACGTAGATCTCGGGCGCGTACAAGTTCACCTGCCGTACCCTGATCGTGACCCTAGCGGTGCTCGCGCGGCTGGTACCCGCGTTGCGGAACAGAGCGCCGCGATCCTTCGCCAGGACTACCAGCTCGTGTATGGCGCGTTCCGCGTACCTAACAGAGAAAACGAGTTGTTTGCTAACGTTACAACACTATGATGATTCTATAGATAGTTTATGGAAACTATGAAAAAAAAAGAAGAGTTTGTTTGACACGCTAACAAGCTCCGCTGGAGTACAGCATGCAAAAATGAAATGTATAGTCGCAATGCTGTACAAAATAAGTACCTTTAATATGCAAATTCAGAGAAGAAAATAACAGAAAAAATATAATCTCAAAAATTCTTAAAGATATACATAATATTTATCTTTCTAAAGGTATAGTCAAATCGTTTGTATCTGAATTTTTTCTGAGAATGGATAGAAAAATAAAGTTAAATAATATATTGCAAAAATTAGTTTACGAATTTTCATTATATTGCAAATCAATCAAATAGTTCATTGATTTCGTTCAAATTAAACTTTCGAATCTCGAAGCTCAAGCATTTCTGCTTCGTGAAACAGGTCGCGATTACGCAATTTACTCTGACCGAGATACCAAAAAAAAAAATATGCACTTACCTGAGCGGTCTTGTGAGCGTTATTACGCCGCTGACCGGATGAACGGCGAATTGATCGGTCTCCTCGGCAAAGCTATAGTAAATCTCGCCGTTTCTGCCGAGATCGGCGTCCTCGGCGATTACCCTGAGTATGCTGCGATGCAAAGGCGTGTCCTCTGTCACGGTGGTCTCGTACTCGATCGGATAGAACAACGGATTGAGATCGTTCGTGTCGAGAATCGTCACCACCACCGTGGCGTCCGCCTCGAGCGCAATCACTCTGTTTCTACCGTCGCGTTTGCTCGAGGTGGCACGCACTTCGAGCACATATCGGTCTTTGCGTTCGCGATTTAGCACGTCGACGTTGCTGGTTCGAGTCCGAATCAGGAGGAAGCAAAAATCACCGACCGTGCGCTCCTCCGCTTTAAAGAACTTTTCGCGATCGCCGCTCACTATGCGAAACTTTACGTCGACGTCACTGTCGGCGGACGCGAGCTTTATGCCCATCCGTTCCTCGGGCACAACGTACGTCTTGCCAATGGAATTCTCGGGAATGGAGACATTGTATAGAGATTGCGTGAAACGGAACTCGGGTCCCGAAAAAAGACTCGCGTCATCCTCAAACGTGATCGGCAGGTTCGTTGCGGTGCCGATCGACGGGATCGATGGCTTCATCGAACCGCCGCCACCGTTGCCGTCGCCGCCGTCGCCTTCCGCGCCTCCATCTCCGCCGCCACGTGGCGGTATCAGAGTCGTTGGCACGGGGGTGTCGGACGACGGGGAGCCGGCCGTGGCCACAAACAGCCACAGCCACAACCATGGCCAAGCATGCAACGCGCGATGCTTCATCCTGTGCATGATGGTGTCGCTAGCTCATCGTCGGTCCTTGTCGACAAACGCTTCCACCCGGTTTGTCTTTTGCCCGGCAGAACAAGGCCACTGCGAGGCACGAGACTTCTGGCCCCGTTTCGCGTGTCGACGGCGGTCACCTGAAACAGTAAACAGCGCCAAAGTTAGAGACTGAGCGACTAGTTAGGCGAAGATGAGAAGAGGCCGGTAGTCTAGCACGTAAATACAGTCAAGCGACAAGATCCAAGATTATCTTCCACGACAGCTACCGAGTTCCACCCGATTGAGCACGAAGACTAGACTAGGTTTAGGGGAGGAAGTTAGGACGAGCGGATGGAGACCAAACTCCCTTCCGGTTGTGCATTATTGATCGACGGCACGATCGACGGTACGAAACGGTAGATAAATCACTGGAGTGTGAGACGTTGCGAATACTCTACTATCCGAATCAATTATTTATTGATGAGACTCTTAACTTCGCTCAATTGTCCATTTCGCGGAATTCCATTGAACGTAAAAGGGACAATCAAATGCAATTATGTATTCGTTACGTCGCTTCGATGAAATACGATTGTCCCGGAAGAGTACTATAGAATATTCACGTATCGAAACGCAAATTAAAATTCCATTGACATTGCAGCGCTCGATCGAGTACGCCAATCGAGTTCATTTCTTGCTCAGAAGATTCAGGTTAAATTATTCTTCGTAGAGAAGTTATAAAATATTCCGCTTCTACATATATGTATGCATGTGACCCCAATCAAAGATATTTTTTTAAATACGCAAAATAAAGGCAGTAAAAAATATTAGCGTTTATGTTAAACAATTACTAAACAAATATACATTTCTCTGCTGGTCATTTACGAAATAGAAATTTAATTTACTGGTTACAGTAATTACCAAGTTTTTTATTCATCTTTAGCAAAAGCGATAAAAGTAGAAGCGAGAGTGGTACTTAGGAAGTGTTTCTTTCTCGAGATATAAAAATATTATTTTCTTTAAAGATACACCAAGCCAGATTAGTAGTGTCTCGTGAATTCTAGCCAGTGTGACGAACACTTCGCCGTCCGACAGTTCCAGGACCAAAGCTGCGATATCAACGACTGGTGTCAGGATGCAGGTGGGATACGATAGAGATAGAGGCTACCAGGATTTTGCCTATCTTCCCAGTGTCCCGCACTCGTATACTCTCTAATCTTGACCAACGATGCCTCCGGCCGCATTTGCACGAACCGATGTATATGCCGCGCATTTGACAGCTCGGTATCGATACGTCCGCCCGCCGCGCCGCGCCGCGCCGTTGGAATAGGAACGATACATTACGCCAGCGAAAGCGCACTGCGCAAATCCGAATAAATAACAGATCACGGGTAGCTCTCCGCTTTCCGTTGTGGAAAAGAGATTTTGAGATGTTCGCCAACGAGAAAATCTAAATAATTATTAATTTCAAATTAACCAACGTTTGTTTCTGCTCGGAAGTGGGAAAGACCGTGATAATCTGAACAAGAATGAGCGCAATCGCATCATTAGAATCGCGTTTTCTCCGGTCGCATAATTATCTCTTGGAGATAAGACCTCGAATCGCTTCGTCGCTTGCGAGTCGCGAAATCGCGGAGAATCACGGAATTGTTTTCCGCGTCCGTTACGGCGCTCGAAGTTATTCCACTCAGAAATTCGTAAGGACGACGTGATTATTATTACAGGGTGCATCCGCTTTAACGACAAGCGGAAAGAAAATTGACCTTTAACTCCTATCAAGTAAAACGTGGAACATCAAGATACGTCTCTGGTTTTCGCGCGCGAGAAAGTTTGCGTTGGACCTCGGAGCCAATTACGTAGCCACTGATTCATAATCGGCGTAATAAAAAACCGCTTAAATGCGCCGGGCGCATTTTCCACCTCCTCGCAATTCCTGCATGTGCTGCGCTGTATCTTTTCGTGATAATACACCCGAAGAACGCGCGCATGCAAGAAAAACGAGGCAAGCGAGCGAGTCCGCGCCAAGTTGGCGCCTCTGCAACATTCGCATATTACGTTGCTACCGCGTCTGAAGCCTTGCACCTCGCCTTGCACCCAACCTTGAACGCGTCGCCAACCAGTTGACATTCTCTCGCGCATTTACAATTTCGATACGTTAATGAGATGTTTCGTTTTCCCTTAAGCAAACCGAAAATTGCAAAACTGTCCATTACCAAAGATTGGATTTAATATTTTAAACGATACAAAATTAAAAAAAAAACTACAAAAATAAAATGTAATCTATAAAATATAATTAAAACGCTGTATCACAACAAATAATTGTTTTACAAGAAAGATGAAGGAAAAGAAATGAATTTAATGTTTTTTAAATTGAGAAATAAATTAAATTCCACAAGTTCGCTAGTAGCGTTTAACGCAGTAGCGTTTTGCGCGCACATCTCAAATAGCGACGAAGGTGTTAATCGACACACACGACGTTACATTTCTACGTAAACGTGACAACGTTTGCCACCATATCAAGTATGCTCTTCAGCAATCATGTCGACCGCGGAATACATTTTCCTCGGATTTATCCTGCTGCATTACACGGTCAAGTCCAGAGGAAATCCCGTTGCAATCTTCCCAAATATATTTGCATACGAGGCCGGATATGTAGAAAGACTCGAGTCTACGTGACTCTGCCGCATGCATACGTAAATAAAATCAAGTTTCTTCCATATCCGCTTAAATTCACTTCGAGATATCTAAGAACGACAGATAGACGAATAGAAGATAGACGGAGATGTTGGCACAATTTCTTCCGCAATCCCTTTCTTGCCTTTCCTGACGTTCGATGCCGCTTGCGGAACGCTCGTCTAGCTGGAATGACTACCGTGACAAAGTGAGATTATGTGGATATCGAGAATGACGACGGACGTCTGAGATTGTACTCGACGGTTTCCCGAAAGCCGTGGGGCTTTCTCTCCTCTCAAAGGAGTCAAGACACCGAAGCTGAATTGCAGAAACAACGAACCGCGACACAGAGCCTTTGACAGTGCGGCGCAAAAACATTCGAGCGAAATTACGCGCTTCTTTTTTACCTGTATCACCCCGCTTTTCCTTTTTTCGATGAGATTTAAACGGCTTTGAACTCGCCACGAAAAGTTGAGCGAACAACGGATGAATGATTTCGTACCCCGAAGGCGGTCTTATGGCGTTCGGAGGTCGCGACAATGCTCGCGCAGAAACTCGTTCTGCCAGTTAAATCGAGCATGAATTGCGATGCCGCGCGCAGAAAACGGAGCATCGGTCTCGCAGAGATATGGCGGGGATTTAAAAAATGATCGAGGGACAGATAGTGACGGGACAAAAAGAAAACGGCGCGGCGCGGCGCGGCGTGGCGGATCGCTCGAGAATATTCCCGCGATATTTTTTCGCACGAATAAACGTACGTTTGTTCCCCCAGCCCCGGTGCACTGTCGGCGAGAAAATGCGGGAATCGCCCGGTTGGACGAACGACGAGCGAAAACAACGTACGCCGTCGGTATTTCAATGCGAAATACGCGAACGATCGCGCGTCCATTTGAGGGACGAACGACCGCGGAGTGCGCGGCACGAAGAGGTCAGGCGGACGATGGACGGAATTAATTCCCGAGCTCGAGCTCTACATGTTCTACCCGTCGTCGTTGTAACGAATTTTGTCAGTTTACGGAGCAAACATACCTCGCCGTCTCATCTCAACCTGCAGGCCCAAAAAAAAGCAACCGATGCTCGCGTAGCGATGCGAAATATTCGACGACGGTGACGCAATTATTCCGGAACGCATTCGCGGCACCCAACACGTATTTGTATTCTCCATCCCTTCACGAAGATCGAAACAAAGGGACAAATCCGATTAATATCTGCGATTCCGTGCGCAGCGTAATCACCCTGGATTCGTGCCATTGGCTTTTATCTTTTCGATGCAACAAAAGAACATTATTGTTCATCTATTTATCGTAATGGTACTCGAGAGCTTGCGATGCTGTTTCAAGTGCACGCTGAATTATCTAATAGCACTGCGTTCTTTTCACGGCGTAAAAATGTCTTAAGCTCTCTTGATATCATTTTTTTAAACGTTATCGTTATAGTTCTTACAGGTAGAAAATAATTTTTATATAATTTTTAAAGAATGATTAACCTGAGCAAGTTATTGCTGCTTATCAACGAGAGGAAAACACTCCAAAAACTTTCAAGACTGAGAGCTACGAATTTTAAATTTGAAGTTAAAATTCGAGATAAGTTAAGACTCGAGATTAAAGCAGCCTATTCATTATTATTAATTGCCTCGTGTCGGTAATTTATAGATTGAACTCGTTATCAACACTTGCACTTCCGTGCCAACTTTATTTCTTACAGGTGCTCTTGAGAACACGCCAGGCTTTTTATCGGACGATATCTTTTCTTATCTCTGCCGAGGGAGGGCGAGCCGTGCTCACCAACACACCAACACGCCCCGCATCCAAGATATCTGCTTAAGAGTATCTTAAAATACACACCGGTATCGAGGTTTCTCAATAGGCCAACACGCATAGCATTTCAAGCATTTGCTATTTACATTCCCACCAGCGTTAATCGTAGCTGTAAATAATGCCAATTTACTCACTAAAATGTTACAAAAATAAGAAATCAGTAAATAAGAAAGTCTTCAAACAGAGAATATTATAATATTTAATACATGGCATTGGTGAATATTCCTAACAGAAAATATAACTCGCGTACAAAAATGATAGAACAAAGATACTTATTTATTACTGACTTGGAGGTTGAAGTACCTACCCAGTCATATACAATATTATTCACGAGTTCACAATAAAGCGAATGTCTGTTTAGAAAGCCGTCTCATTCGCATTATATAAATAGATATTCCAAATCCGAGTACGGACTCTGGTACACGGCTTGACAAGAACTATTACTACGTCGTAAAACCGGCGTCTCACTGTTTAACGGAATTATCCGGGTGAGTTTCAGTAACACTTATCTTTTCACGATTTATAGATCGCGTTTCCCTCGGCCCATTTTGCCTTGTACTTTATAGCGACTCGCCTCGAAAGCTCTCGCGGAAGAGCATTTTCTCGACGAGCAGCGGGCCAAGTTTCCCGACGGAGTTGTAGTCGCGTCGATGCAACGGTCCCGAAACGAT